AAATAGTTTACATTAGGTAGCAGGAGTTACCTTTCTAGTCTGCAAATATCCAGGTTCTTGGCATCTGCTTCTCTCCTTTCTTTTCTCATCCAATTCTAAGTTTTAGACTCTATTACTTCTAGTCCCCTTACTTCTGGGTATTACCTTGTGTTATTTGTTTGGAGATTAATTCAGCTAGTTAGTGGGATTTGGAAAAATCCAAAATAACAATGATTAAACAACATGGGGATTTATTTTTTTCTTTTCATTTCTGTTCTTCTCATAAGTAATGCTGGTGGTGTAAGCCCCACGTGTACCAATTTCTACTTTCATCTCATTGGCCAGATCTATGTTGTTATACTATCCATACCTCCAAGAAAGGCCAAATTTTAGTTAACTATATCACACCCAACAAAATAAAGGAAGGAAGAGAGAATCAATACTAGGTAGAAAGCCACCAGCTTCTGACATAAGATACCTATTTATTTATTATGTGAGACTCATTGGTGACAGTGGAGCAGTAATTACAGGGCAGAGTGCTAGCCTACATGGCCAAGTCCAGTGGGTTGGGTTCTAGTCCTGATTAGCCTTAAAATTAGCCTCTCTACTCCTTAACTAGCCTCTCAGATTTTGTCATTTATCTGAGTCTCTAGAAGGGAAATACTAATAATATCTCCCTACAGTATTGTTGCAGCAATTAAATAAGGTAATCCTTAGAAAGTGCTCATTTTAAGCAGTGTCTGAGTGTGGTTCTGCTCAGAAAACATTAGCCATCAGCCAGTGTTGATAAAGTGGATTCAGATGCCCTTGTTTTATAGAGAATGAGACAATGGGGAAAGCATCTAGCTCACTGGGGACATTTCCCCCTCACTCCTTTTTGATAGCCACACCTATCCCCACACCTATCCTTAGGCAGCCAAGCAGGCTTTCACCTCAGGGCCTTTGCACATGCTGTCTCCTTAGTACTCCTATGGAGAGTTTCTCACCTCAATCCCTCACTTTATTTAGGTCTCTTCTCAGCCAGCCTTTCTTTAATCCCCTCATATGTCCACCATTTGCTAAACTCTGACACCACCATAGTTCTTTTCGTAGTAGAGAGAATTGCCATCTGACATTATAGTATTTTATGTTTACTAATCTGTCACCCTCACAGCACAGGCTTCATGAGGCTTTGTGGGAATGTTGTCTGTTGTGTTTAGGGCCCTGCATGTGACAGACACTCAATGAACACCTATTGAATGAATAGTAAGTATTTAGTCAACATTGGTTCACTTTTAAAATGTGAGATCTTCTCAAAGTCAAAAGAGGAATTCAGTACAGAAGTAAGGAAGACTAAGGAACTTGGAACTTAAGCAGAATTCAGAATAGGAGGACATCAAGAATTCAGGCAATTGTGAGAGGGAATTAGTACAAGGCAGCCCAGTGTGAATCTTAGAAGGTCTGGATAAACCTGAGGACCCTTTTGTGCACCCCCTTGCCAGTTTCAGGATTTAGCCTCTGGATTTCAGGTGACTCTGGGGCTGTGACTTTGGCCAGATGATTGGTTTCACTTAGTTTGGTGTCTCTCCATCTTTTGCATTATTCTCCTGATCTCCTCACCCTGAAGAAAAAAATTTAACTTAAATTCTAACGCAAAATATTAAATACTGAGGAGTAATATTCTATAATATAGGATTGAGCTTTGCAGGTAGGCACTAACCATTATCATAGCCAAGATTTGTTGGCCCCTTCAACCCAGAATTACTTTTCAGCCCCTTGTGGGTGATATGGCCCTGCTGTGCATGCATAGTGTAGCTGAAAGAGGATCTGAGAAGGTTGGTAGATTCTAAACACAGTATCAGAATCTGCTAAGAAGCATTCATTTTGAATTTTGGATGGCTAAGGCTGTCAGCTTCAGGCTGGTCAAAATTAATTTAAATTATCATGGCTGTTTGCTTTGAGATGGGACTCTAATTGGAGAATTCTATATGATAGACAAAAGTGAACTGGAACATGCTTTGCAGACTTTCATGTCCACAAATTCTTCCCACTGTTGAAATGGATCTTCAAGATGAGAAGCATTTAAACCTCTGCACAGGTCAGCCACGGAGGGATGTATTTGTATTATTTGCAGGTTTCTATTCTGTATCTTCTCTGGGTCAATGTTTTGTTCACTGGAATGTTTCATTGGAAATTGGAAAGAACCACTCATTTTATAGTATTGCAAAATTGTGTATCTCCTCTTATGCCCTGAGTCATCTCAAATCGTTGTAGTAGATTGGGATGCTTCTAATTCCCTTGTTTATAGAAACAGAAAAAGGAATTGATAGAATAGAGGCTGGAGGGATTACTGGAAAGTTCCCAATTATATGTCTGGAATCAAAAAGTTATATAGCCCATGAACATCAAAATAAGACTAAATGTCTTGAAGTAACCTTTCCTTTTCCGAAAACTCCTTCCCGGCGCCCACAACATTCACAGTCAGAGGGTGGGCTCCCAGCAGCCAGGTTGATATCTCCTGACCCTGCTCCAAGTTGAACCAATCAGCTTTGCCCACCTCCAGCGTATTAATGCTGCAAAGTGCAGGAACCAACTCAGGGTAAAGTTTATTTTCATTTGAAGGATTTTTTTTAAGTTTAGTTTTGCTTTACTTTTCTTCTTTTTTAAGTAGTTAAATTTTTCTAAATGTGATTCAATGTAAGGATTGATACAGTCATTTAGATTGACGAGGAGGGTAGCAATGTAGCCCTGTCCAGGGTATCTGAAACTAAGACGAGGAATGCCATGAGGAAACCAGTGTTCTCTCCACAGGCTTTCGCCTCTGCCTTCTCCTATTCAATTTTATTTTATTTCTTGGCAGGACAGAAATACCTTCACGGCAGCATTGCCTCTAGAGCCCCTAATTCAAAAGTTATTGTTCTCTTCACTTAAGACTAGACCCCCTCTCTCTAGATCTGAGCGCTCAGTTGTTAGGAAAGAACTCTGTTCCAGCTTGCATGAGATCCCTAAACTCTGGACCCATCGCCAGTGCCTGGGGAGTTTATATTCCACAAACATGGCTTCTAGGAATGTACCTTTGTCACTTCTGTTAAGAGGATTGTCATAGACTTCTACACACTGATCTCCACTTATTTAGGCGTCTCCCCATTAGGCTATGAATTCCTTCAGGGCGAGGAATTTGCCTTATTGATGGTACACTCCTGGTGCCAAGTTCAAGGCCTGGTTCTTAATTGATGTTCAGGAAATATGTATCGAATGAATACAAGTTGACAGCAAGGAGAAAAATTCTCTAGGGTTTTCTTCAATCAGATTTATTTAAAAAGCAACTTGTCGAAGATATTTACCCTGTTTTCATATGTATGGGACTATCTGAACTGTGGCTAATATCCTGAATCATTGACCATTAAAATTGTAATTTAAAGGATATTTTCAAAATTGTTTTTCAGTGATTGAGAGTCTACACGTTGATGGCACTGTGCTGGGGTAGGGAGTACACCAATGAATGAGACACCGTCACTGTGTTGGAGGACCTCTCTGTTGAATTTGACAGACCTTGGAGATCACTTAGCTTAACTTTCTCATTTTACAGATGAGAAAACGGAGACTCGTAAAGATTGCTAGGCCTGATGGAAAATGTTTTGATTTATTCATAAGATTTTAATATGTCTGTGTGGAGTCACTTTGCAGCGAGAGGTGTTACTTATTTTGGCCAAAGGGAACATTCAGTTTTTGTACATTTATGGATTATCTTTGCTTTGATCTTGCATTTCTTTTTTTAATAGGCATGTGATTATGTAGATGATATTTGCTAAGCTTTTGATTTATTTGGAACCAATTAATAGCTGGCACTCAAGTTCTTTGAAAGCTCAAAACTTGCTATATTGGAAATTTTTTTATGGTTACTGAGTAATAAGGTCATGTATTATTGACATGGCTTCTGACACCTCTCCCATTTATTATTATTTCTTGTTAAATCACTTCCTAAGAAGGCTAGAGAATGTTTTCCATCTTCGATGGCATAGTTTATGTTGACTTTCTCTGGGAGAAGGCGAAATTCAGAGGAGAGAATGAAAAGGGTCATTTTTCTGTTGTTTACAAAGGCTGGAGGTGAAAGTTTTCTCTGGTGGATTGGCAATGGAATTAAATTATCCTTTCATTGTGGGGATGTATTGTGTGCCAGGCACTGTGCAGAATTCGGGGGGGGGGTGGGATTTCTGCAAGCTCTTGCAGGGGAGACAAGCCTGCTGCAGCTGGCAGTGCCGGAGGGATACATTACTGCTCTGACCGGTGTGTTCAAGGGCAAGCCAGGGAGAGGCCAAGTCTCCTCACCCAGAAGCATAGAGAATCATTTCTCTGGAGGAGATAGCTTTAGGACTGGCCTAAGAGTAGGGCATACCAACAGTTTACCAAAGGAAAAGAAGAGAAGCAACAAATAGCTACAGGGTGCATAGGGACATGATCTCCTCTGAGGCTACATGATGGCTAAGCTTGGGACAGGTATTGTCCTAAGCCAGAGCCTACATCTCTCTGTGCCATTGATTGGCTGTTTCTCCTCTTGGCATCATTGTCAGTCCTGGGATGGAGAGCCTTCTTGAGTATGCAGTTGAGCTGCTCAAGGCAAATGGACATAGATTTTAACTTCCTAAGAATGTAAGCTCTTAAATATGTCCAGAACCCCTCTAACAGTCTTCCAGGGAGTCTTTCACATAGCCTCCTGGTTGGGTAGGAGTTTGATGGGATTTGTTCTAGAAAAAGTCATCTTATTTCCCTGGTGATCAGGAAAATTTCCTAGAGGAAGTCACTCTTCCAGAGGTTTCTGTCTGGGGGAAGGGTGTGTGTGTGCATCTGTGTGTCTGTATGTCTGTGTCCGTCTGTTAGTGTGTCTGTGTATACAGGGTGGAGGTTAGCTGGGGAAGGAGAAGAGGCATTAGCTTCCTGACTCAAAACAGCAAACGCAGTCCTTCTTTGTTATAGGAGGCGATGTGTTCTGTATCAGAGGGCTCACTGTTGTGACTGAAATTTTTTGTTTTTCTCTCTTCCAGGCATAAATGGGACCAGGTGAGGTCATGCTGTGGCTGCTGGAGGAATAGCCCATTTCCAGGTCATTTGCATGGGCCCTGCTGTGAAAGGAACCAAACAAGACCTTGTCAGACACTTACTTCCTTCTCTTTGGTGAGCACTCCAGGCACAGCAATTGTCCCACTGTTGTTCTAATGTGTCCTGTCCTCCTCTTGCCAAAGCAAACAGCCCAGTCTCAAGCAGGCATCCTTTAGGCTCATCTGCCAGCCTGAACATGAACGCAGGCAAGGCTGATGACAGCCAGGGCTCCCAAGGGACATGGGGCCTTACAGGGCCCAGCCCCCAGAAGCAGGTCCTCTCATGATGCTGGTGTCTGGGAGTGAGCACCATGCCCATCACCCAGGACAATGCCATGCTGCACCTGCCCCTCCTCTACCAGTGGCTGCAGAACAGCCTGCGGGAGGGTGGGGATGGCCCAGAGCAGCGTCTCTGCCAGGCAGCCATCCAGAAGCTGCAGGAATACATACAGCTCAACTTTGCTGTGGATGAGAGTGTGGTCCCACCTGACCACAGCCCCCCAGGAATGGAAATCTGTACTGTGTACCTCACTAAGGAGCTGGGAGACACAGAGACTGTGGGCCTCAGTTTTGGGAACATCCCTGTTTTTGGGGACTACGGAGAAAAGCGCAGAGGGGGCAAGAAGAGGAAAACCCACCAGGGCCCTGTACTGGACGTTGGCTGCATCTGGGTGACAGAGCTGAGGAAGAACAGCCCGGCAGGGAAGAGTGGGAAGGTCCGACTGCGTGATGAAATCCTCTCCCTGAATGGGCAGCTGATGGTTGGAGTTGATGTCAGTGGGGCCAGGTGAGTGGGGGAGTGCCAGTTCCTACAGGGGCTGGAAGGGGGATCCCTGTGGCTCACTTGTGTCTGCTGCTCCAATCTGTAGCTGCAGAGGGTTATGAGATCCACTCTGATAAGAAGTCAGTGGCATTTATCCTATAAAGGGAAGATACACTAAGTAGAAGTATTGTGGTATTTGTATCTTTCGTTTTTGCTTCATTCTCTCTTAGAGAACTCAGACTCGGGGTATTTGCTTTTTTTCTGAAACTTGGATTAGAGATAAAAAAAAAATAGTACATGACGCAAGAGTATGAGAAATGTCACATTGAGTTAAACCCTCTTGCACTCAACCCAGCATCTCCCCTCCAGTTGGAACACCAAAGGTTGGGTCCTGGATATATTTCTATCTGCACGTCCCTTGTCACCCTAGTCACAGACTCAAAGGCCAGAAGGACCTTGAGATGCTTAGAACTATCTCTGGACCACTAGCCACCCCTGCCATCGCCCTCGTTTTCCCATCCTTGAAGATCCATGTGGATGATGAGTATATTTCTGTTTTTCACCTGCGTGGCCACATATCATGGCAGTAAGTTATGATTGGACTGTTGTATCCCAGGTGACTCAGAGTCCCCAAGACCACCCTCAACCTCAGGGATTTACCAGAAGGACTCAAAGGACTCAGAAAAACTCAAGGTTACAGTTTATTACAGTAAAAAGATACAGATTAAAATCAACAAAGGCAAAAGGTATGCAGTGGGGTCCAGGAGAGAGAATCAGTGCAGGCTTCCCACTCTTCCCACTGGTGGTCCTTCCCAGTAGATTGTACAGAAGGCCTCAATTCTAGCAGTGATGTGTGACATCTGTAGAATATCATCAGCCAGGAAAGCTCATGAGCCTTGGCATCAGGGTTTTTCTTGAAGGTCAGTCACCCAGACATGGAGCGCCCGTGTAACTGACCTTAGCTACTCAGAGTTCAGTCCTTCCAGAGTTCAAACTAATGCCACATGGCCCAATGCCCCTGCTGTAAATCACGTTATTAGCATAAACTATCTGGTATCATGCAGAATATTCCAAGGACATAGCGGTTACCTCCCAGGAGTTAGTCAAGAACCAGTCCTTTCTTTGAAGTTACATGGATTGAATACCCCAAATTTGCTGTGCTGACTCTTTATGGCACACCAGGGTTTTAGTAATGGGTGTATATGGATGAGACACAAAAAGAGAAGTTTGAAGATATTCTGAGATGCTTAACTTTTGTCAGGCCTTCAGGGGCTCCTGTGAGGAGGACTCCTATGTTCCAAGAAAAGAGAATCATGGAGACAGGGTCACCTTGAGAAGCAGAGTAACCTTCCAGTGAGAAGACATCTAACCCAAGGAGACCCTGAAGGGAAGAAGCCAGAACAGAAGTACCTTAAGTTTAATTTTTTCTTCCCTTCAGTATCCTATCAAAGCTTTCCATTGGCAGAAACCAGCCAGAGGCCAGTGGCAAGGGAGCCCAGTGAGATTGTCCATACGTGTCAACCTGGGGCAGAGGGCAGGGTGGAGAATGGTGGAGAGTGGACATGGAGTGGCAACAAGAAGTCATCAGGCACATATAGTGTGGTCTAAGTTTAAATGAGCCAATGCATGGAATAGTCCTAGCACAGGGCTGGCTGGCATGTGTGAGTACTTAGTAGAGTCTATTTCCTTTGAGCTGCCCATCTGACTGAAGAGATGTTCTTGGCTAATGGCTGAATCCTGAACTGGCAGTTATTGGGAGAAGCTTCATCTTCAAGGAGGGGTGCTGAAGAGAAATGATCCTTTTTTATTTTATTATTTATTTATTTATTTGTTTGTTTGTTTATTTATTTATTTATTTATTTATTTATTTATTTTTGAAACGATTCTATTTAAAATTAGAAATTTTTCTTAGAAAAGAAACAGGACTGACCACTATAGTATTCACTGGTATGGAGAAGGTGACTCCAGTCCCTGATAGGTGGGTCCTCGGGGCTAGAAGCATGGATCAACATGGAGCTTGAGGCAGCCCTCCTAGAGCTGTCCCTGAGAGCCACTGCCTTTTGTAGCTGTTAGTTTTGAGGGGAGCTGCTTTGGATGCAGAAGCAGAAGGAAGAGCACAGAGGAGACATCCAGCAGGAGAGAATAATAATGGTCAAGAGTTCCAGCTCGGGAGCCAGACAACCATGCTGCCTCCTCAGTTTCCCACACTTATAAGCTGGTTGACCTTGGAAAAGTCATCCCTCCTAGCCTTGGATTCCCTGTCTATGACATGGGAATGATAACACTATTGATCCAATGACTAAATGATGCAATAATTTGCATCATTGCATATAAAGGGTTCACAATATGTTTATTTTTTAAAAGATTTTACTTATTCATGAGAGATGAAGAGAGAGAGGCAGAGACATAGACAGAGAGAGAAGTCCTGTGGGACTCGATCCCAGGACCCTGGGATCACGACCTGAGCCAAAGGCAAGACACTCAACCACTGAACCACCAGGTGCTTCACATAGTGCTCAATAAAATATTAGCCTCACAGTAACTATTCTACCTGGAGAGTGTTTGGAAAGACAGGGAGTTTCTTATCCAAGAGGTTTCTAGATTCTTTAGAATTTGAAAGAGTTTTCCCATACTGGATAATTTTTCTCATATCTGTTCAGGAAGTCCCTCCCATTGACTGCTTAAGGCTGTGGAGTCTTTAAGAGGCAAAGTTCTCTGTCCCAGGCACTGAAAGTATATCTGACCCTGAAATAAGAAGGCTTTCCAGCTACCAAGGGAGGATTCTTTGGTGATTTTAATTTATTCCTTGGAGGGAGTGATAGGATGATGCCCCCCCCACCTTTTTTTCTAAGAAAGAATATACAGAAAAATAGAAAGATGATGGGCCCAGAGTCATGACAGAAAGTGGGACATAAAACTAGACTCCTTAATGGAGGCTCCCAGAAGGGGGCAAGTATGGTGTGATGGGGGAAGCAATGAACTGAGTCTGGGATTCTGGGTTCTCTCCACAGGTGTTCGAGCAACTGGCTTTGAGACCTCTAAGAGTGTTGGGATGGAAGAGTGAGGGTGGGAGGGAGGTTAGCTGCATCTGCTTATGCTAACATATTAGGAGTGAATCTCTGAGACATTTCATTTGACCCGCCTGAGCTGGTTTTATCATTCTAGAAGTTCACAGAAGTGAAGCAGTGATGCGGTGATGTCATAGTGAGAGCTGAGAGACTCAGTCACTCTCCTCTGAGTCCCAGCTAGGAGTTGTACCTCATCCAACGCACCATCCATCCCACTTCTGTGTGGTCAGGAAGAGATATTTGGATGGATGTGGTCAGTAGGCATCTGGACTGAAATAGCTGAAGCTGATGGAAATAGGAGAAAAGGTCAAGGAACAGTTCTGTGGGATTGCTAATTGCTATGTCTGGGTGTTCTCAAATGTACCTGGGATTTGTGTTCATCAAATATGATAAGACATGCAGACAGGGAAATGACTGTCACAAAGGAAGAAGAATCCCCCCTGCTCCTTCCCTTGTGTTTCATTTTGAATTCAAAACTACCTTAGATGATGTTATAGTTTGAACTGTGTCCACCCACCAACCCGCTACTGCCAAATTCATATTTTGAAGTCTTAAGCCCCCAGTACCTCTGAACGTGGCCTTATTTGGAAATAGTCCCATTACAGATATAATTAGTTAGGATGAGGCTGGACACAGACACCAAGTGAAGATTATAGTTATGTTGCAACAAGCCAGGGAACCATCAGAAGCTAGGAGAGAGGCCTGGGACAGACCCTGCCTTGGTACCTCAGAGGGAGCATGGCTCTGCCAACACCTTGATCTCAGACTTTTAGCCTCTAGAACTTGTGAGATGAATTTCTGTCATTTAAGCCATTTCGTTTGTGGAACTTTATTATGGCAGCCCTAGCAAACTAATACATGTGGTATTTTGACCCTGTTGCCTATGGCTAGTCAATTATTCGGATGATTTCCTCCCTCACTAGAGTTATTCTGGCAACTAGAGAGCATGGTGAATGCTTTTGGAAGAGGATACTCTGAAAGTTGTGGGTGTTACGTGTGGGAGGAGCAGGTGCAAAATGTGGAAGATGAGGTCATGGTTTGCTTATTTTAAAAATTAGCTTAGAGTCAATCTGTAAACTTCATCCCCAGGGGAAAGAGCAGAAAATTCATAGCTATGGGTTTGACATCTTTCTGCACCCCAGAACCAGTTCCAAAGGCAAAGCTGTGACTGGCCCAAAATTACAGAGCCCATTCTGCTTTCTACTGGATGACACTCCTCGGGTCTGCAGTTTGCTTCTAGCCACCCCCACCTCTTCGGCCCCTGCAGCCCTGGGAGCCCCTAATTCTTTTCAGTGGGAGCAGCCCCATCTTGCATGCGTAGCTGGTAACAACAACACACGGAGGAAGGTTTTTGTTTGCAGGCTCTTATCATACCTACTTTAGGGAAGATGGGATTTTCTGGAATGTTCTATTTACTTTTGTTTGGTGGAGGGAGAATTGGGAAGGTTTTTTAGATCATTTCCTACAAGGAATACTTTGTAACCCCAGTCCCTCCCTCCCTCAGCCAGCTTTCTATAAGTAAACCAGATCTGTTCCCTGAGGACAGATTGTTCCAAATTGGTAACAAAATATGGAATTAATTAAAACATAACCCACACAACAAAACAAGTAGCCTTTTCTGAAAAGTAAAAGGGCCCATGTTTCACTTAAAATGTATTTTCCAGGATGTGAACCATGACCAGACTTTTTTGTATATTAATAAACAGGAGAGGCGTATAGTGCAAAGAACATTGACCTCAGAAAGATGGAACTGGCTTCCAGGCCTACTTATTGGCTGTGTGACTTTGGGCAAGTTACCTCAGCCACAGGAGGTTGATGCTATTTCCCCAATAGGGCCATTTAGTGGATTAGATAAGGTGATTTAGTTGATGCACTGAATAGGCATCTGGCATATGGTAGATGTTCAGTCAAAGCTAACTTTTAACACCCGTCCTGGTCAGCCTCAGGTGATCTGAA